GGGCTCAGGCTATGAGCCAGTGGCCACATGGGATCCACTCCCCTTACACAGGGCTTGGCTGTGCAGTGACAGCTGAGCCACTATTTGGATAGTTTTGATCCTTGGTAAGTTTAATCTTCAGATGCAGAAACAGCAAATAAAGAAGATTGACCACATTTTGAAATAGTGAGAAGGGAACTTAAAAGAGTTATCAGAAAGTTCTTGTTAAGAAGGGTAAAGAGGGTAAATGGAATCAGAAATTTGGGAAAAATAAAAAAGGCCTTTCTGTAGAGGGTAGGAAAAGGGTTCATAACGGTGACTACATTTACCAGCACTGTTGAAAGACCCAGCTGAGGTTGGAATAGGAATTTCAATATCATAATTTGGAATGGTGACAACAGATTCAAAATTTTATTTTTTTTTCTTTGTTTAAATTTTATTTTAGACAGAATCTTACTATGTCAAAACCCTCCTGCCTCAGCCTTTGGAGTAGCTGGGACTATAAGTGTGTGCTATGCACGCAGATTTTAGGATGGATCAGGCGGGTCAGGAGCTGAACCTGGGCCTCCCGTGTGGCCTCAGCCTGTCACGTGGCAGTGCCTCCCAGCACGTGCCACTGAGGGTGGGAGTCTGACTTGTTTTCTCCCACTCTACTTGGCAGATTAGAGTGGAAGAGCCATGCAATCAGTTTAACCTAGGGTTGGACTGGGTGTGGGACGGCATGCGTGGGTTGTCATGGCTGTAAGACTGCCCAGGTGGAGGTCAGGAGTGGGAGGGAGGAGTGAACCGGGCACAGCACAGAAGCTCCCCGTGTGTCCAGTGAAGAATGAGCTGTGCCTTGGGAAGCAGGGAGTAATAGCCAGGAGCTGAGGAAGGGGGCTAAAATCAGAGGGCTGTGCCTGTCAGAAGAGGAATGCTGAAAGCAATGTCATGAACAGCACTGGGGGCAGGAGAAGGCCAAGCGACTGCAGAGAGCAGAGGTCAACAACACAGACACGCACGCGTGTGAGACAGGTCTCCACAGAGCCCTTTGTAAGCCCAGCCACGGCTTCTCTCTTTCATTTACTGATGGACTTATTTCCAGGCTGTGGTCATCTGGACGCACCGGGAGAATGTTAGGCTAGGTACAACAGGTTGAAACATTTCTTCAGTTAGCAAACGCTGACAGAACGCATTGGGTCCTAGCCACCATCTGGTGGCTAAAGGTTAAGAGACAAAAGGTGCAAATGCTGCCTTTAAGGAACTCACAGCTGAATTCTGGGCATGTGTATGTGTACTGTAGATCTTTCGCTTCACACAGACAATGAGGGCAAACTGGAACTTCGCGCCAGGAAAATGCCCCCCAAAATGAGAGTCGGACGTTGGTAGGGAGGAAGAGCACCAGTGAAGGGACTGTGGTAGTAAGATTCTGGAATTAAAGAGGCAGTTTTTTTTTTCTTTTCTTTTCTTTTCTTTTCTTTTCTTTGAAGAGGTTTTTGCTATAGGGCACGTGCACTCGCCAGACAGACAGAGAGAGACAGAGAGGCAGAAAGTGAGAAGTCACCCCCCGGGGAGATGTCCACACCGCAATCCCTTCTCCTCCATTCTCCTCTCAGTATCTTGGGCACGCACGCACATGCACCCGGTGTGAGTTTAAGCCATCGGGGCTGGGATGCGAACGGCAGTCAACTACATGGGAGTCCAGTGACATAGCCATTACGCTAACTGCTGGTCCCAAAGAGGCAGATTTTGGAAAATGATTTTTGAAAAGAAGAGTACTTTATTCATTAGAGAGAGCACATGATCGCGTCAGAGAGAGGGAGGGGGGAAACGCCTTGAACAGGGCCTGGCCACACTGCCCCCTCCCCGGCCCTCCAGCTCAGTGGCGTCTTTGTGGGCACCCAGCGTGTGCCTGGAGCCTTCCAGATTGGCCTGAAAAGTGAATTCAGGTACCACGTTGGCCACGTGGTCTCCACCACCACAGCTCAGAATGCAGCCGACTACGTTCCTGAGGCTGGGCCAAATAACTGTATGTGGTTGAGGTGACTTTGTGGGTCTTAGGCTTGTCGTGACATTTCTAGCAGAGTCTGCTAATGTAACGGAGATGTTCGGGTAGTTAGCTGCAAACGCTGCGTAGCTCTGAGTGTGCGTGTGCGCCTGCACCCCAGTCCCCAACAGGACAGAAAGTGGAGGACCGAGGGCAGGACGCCCACACCTCTCTGCCTCTGGCAAGCACAGGCACCCTCTGGCAGTTAAGAAAAGAAAGAAAAGAAAAGGGCAGAGGAAAAGGAGGAAACAAAAGAAAAGAGGAAAGAGAAAGAAGAGGGCTGAGAACGAACCCTGCAAGTACCTCTTTGCACCCAGAATCTTCTGCTGAGTAAGGCTCTTATTTTATTTTTTTCCCAAAACTTGAAGCCACTAGACATTTGATAAGTACCCTTCTAGTACCTTGTGCCACACCATTAAGTCTCTATTCGAACTGACTTTGCACGATAGTTACCTCCTCTGCAAACCATTCCCCAGGCTTCTGCCTCCCTCCTTCCAGCCAGTAGCTCTTGTCCCCAGGCTGCCAGTGTAGCCATGAGATGTGGCATCTGTCACCCTCTGAAAGATGTACGCTATGGTCTGACTGTCCTCTGAGTCACCCTGTTACTGTGTGAGAAGGGGCGTCTGGGAGGGGGCTGGGATTAAGGTCATGAAGTCGGGGCACCCACGGGCCCCTCCTCAGGGTTTTGCAGGGAGAGATGAGACAGACACACAGACACAGACACGTGCCCTCCCCGCCGCAGGATGTCTGCCAGCAGGAAGGCCCACACCAAATGCAGCCCCGGACTCTGGTCCTCCACGCCGAGAGCTCAGTAAACCTCTGCTCTTCACCAGTCAGAGGGGCACGCGGGCGTCTGCATTGTCCACAACACAGGGAGCTGGAACTCGGGCCCCTGCCCTTCCCCACAGCGCGAACTTAGCAAGCCCCATCTTCAGTCCATAGGTTGAAGCGGTGAAGTCCAAACCGTATTTTCAACGTGAACTTTTCATTTAAATCAGTCAAATCACTGCACTTAATGTTAGTATTTCCTTACATTAAAACAAAACCCCAAACAAAAAGAAGGTCCCTGAAATCTACCTATAGGAATTTTATTCTAATTAAACACACATACACACATGCTTTTTGAAGTTCATTATATAAGTAATGCTTATAAACTTCCTAATAATGACTTTATTCACCATTTTACACTTTTCTCACTGCTAGAAGGACATCCCAAGCATCCATGATGGCCCCAGGGACAAACGTTCGCACTGGAAAACAACAGGAGGAGCACACCTGCTCACGCCTGGTGTCAGCTGCTCCGTGACAAGCGGGGAGGGGACGGCTCTGCTGTCGGTCTGGAGCCCAGGACGAACGGTACACATTACATGCATCCAATCTTTCTGCAGAGTCTGATTTTGTTTTCTTCAAGAGGAACACGAATGTTCCAGGAGCCAAGAACATAAAGAGGTTTATCGTTCAGCTCAGCTACCCAACGAACTTAACAGAAATATAAACACAGGCAGTAGGAGGCTCCCGGTGTGGGCGGCCACTCCAGATGTCTCCACGTCGTCACACTTCTTTGCCCCTCCTTGAGAGAAGGTTGGGATTATGGGTAAATTGGTCCTTTGTCCGTTAGCCTAGAACCGAAGTTGTCCCTTCTCTGCTCCTACCCAAAGATTGAGGGTTTTGTTCGAAATCTGCTCCACTTCAGAACTTAGAGAATCGCGTCATCTAACCCTGTTCAAGCGAGATCTAGGTGTCTTGAGCCACAACGGTCCTGCATGGCCCCAGGCATTCCGGCCGAGTTTCAGCCCTGGTATTTCAGACCCCACAGGCATTCCGAACTTAGCAAGCCCCATCTTCAGTCCATAGGTTGAAGCGGTGAAGTCCAAACCGTATTTTCAACGTGAACTTTTCATTTAAATCAGTCAAATCACTGCACTTAATGTTAGTATTTCCTTACATTAAAACAAAACCCCAAACAAAAAGAAGGTCCCTGAAATCTACCTATAGGAATTTTATTCTAATTAAACACACATACACACATGCTTTTTGAAGTTCATTATATAAGTAATGCTTATAAACTTCCTAATAATGACTTTATTCACCATTTTACACTTTTCTCACTGCTAGAAGGACATCCCAAGCATCCATGATGGCCCCAGGGACAAACGTTCGCACTGGAAAACAACAGGAGGAGCACACCTGCTCACGCCTGGTGTCAGCTGCTCCGTGACAAGCGGGGAGGGGACGGCTCTGCTGTCGGTCTGGAGCCCAGGACGAACGGTACACATTACATGCATCCAATCTTTCTGCAGAGTCTGATTTTGTTTTCTTCAAGAGGAACACGAATGTTCCAGGAGCCAAGAACATAAAGAGGTTTATCGTTCAGCTCAGCTACCCAACGAACTTAACAGAAATATAAACACAGGCAGTAGGAGGCTCCCGGTGTGGGCGGCCACTCCAGATGTCTCCACGTCGTCACACTTCTTTGCCCCTCCTTGAGAGAAGGTTGGGATTATGGGTAAATTGGTCCTTTGTCCGTTAGCCTAGAACCGAAGTTGTCCCTTCTCTGCTCCTACCCAAAGATTGAGGGTTTTGTTCGAAATCTGCTCCACTTCAGAACTTAGAGAATCGCGTCATCTAACCCTGTTCAAGCGAGATCTAGGTGTCTTGAGCCACAACGGTCCTGCATGGCCCCAGGCATTCCGGCCGAGTTTCAGCCCTGGTATTTCAGACCCCACAGGCATTCCGGCCGAGTTTCAGCCCTGGTATTTCAGACCCCCATGCCCTTTTACAATAACACTGAAAAGCCCACGTGACGGCATAGCAAGGATGGGCAGGGCCAGGTGGACAGGTAAACCTCGCCTGAGGTTAGAGGGCCCTAAAACATTCGGTGACCTCCTCACAGCTGGGAGGAGTGGCCACAACATGTTCTCAGCACCATCTCCCAGGAAGGGAGCTGCTCCTTCCACAGCTCTGTGCACACGCTAACCCGTCACGCGCTCCGTACCTTTGTGGCCGCTTGTGATCTTACACTCTGTGGACCAGTCTTCGGGGATCACAGGGGACACCAGCTCAGCAAACTTCTCCAGGGGACAGCTGTGGGTGCAGCCGGCCAGCGTGAGGGGGTGAGGCTCCCGCTGGGTCTCGTTCCGATAGTACATCTCCACAAAGTACTCTCTGGTGGAGAGAGGCAGCGGGGAGAGCCCGGTTAGTTCCGTGTTCCACCACTGGCTTTCCAGCCGCCTGCCTGTAGCACGTTGAATGAAGGACTGGTGGAAGAATGGGAATGAGGCCATTTTAGCCAATTTACGTGGGAGAATGGAGACCGGGCAGGTGGGACAGATGTGGAAGGTGGAAATGGGACGACTGGTTTGTGATGAACAGGGGCAGAGAGGGTGGGACCAGGACGCTTCATGGGAGGAGTGAGAAGTGGGGGCGGGGCTGGGGGTTTTCTCCCAGTCTCTCTTTTCGTGCTTCTCTTTGCTCTTTCCTTTTTTGTCTTTTCCTCTCAATGTTTCTCCCACTCTGAATGTACCTCCCCGCTCTTTAACCCGGCCATGCACATAGTAATGTAAACGGAACAATACATAACACATGTGCTTGAGTACACAGCATGGCTTTATAAAAATTATCTCTCAGAAAGGGTGCGTATAAATTCAAGTCTTCACATTAGGTCATACGAAGGACTCGCTCAGCACCTTACTTCAAAACTACACCGACCTCAGTAAAGCCACAATGCGCTGTTTATGGCAGTCACGTAGCAACGAGAGAGGCCGGAGGAAATGCAAGGAGAGTCCGAACAGGGAAACGCAGGATTTCTTAGTCAAACACAAATGCAGTATCTGTTAGCCCGGGTCTCCTTGTTCCTGACTTAAAGCAATCAAGTGTAACCTTTGATATTTCTCTGGAGAGCCACCAAAAAAGTTCTAATATAACAACACGCTTGACTTGTGTGGTGTTTGGTTAATTTTCTTACCTGTACGTCAGTGTCTCTCATTAAAAAAACAAAACAAAACAAAACAAGAGAACAACCCTACACTTGAGGTATCACGTGTTCCGGAAACCCTTTCAAAGTGAGCCGGGACACTGGCCTTCCAAAGGGCAAACATGAACAGGCCTTGTTACTGGGCCTTTTATGTCATCGGTCCCCTCGTCCCATTTTCTGCTCTGTTTGGTTGGTCTCCACTCTGTGGAGCTTGTCTCTCCACTCTGAGCCCAGGTATTTGAGAGTCAGGTGAAGGAGACGTTCCAGTCCTGCTTCATTGTGCCTTGCACGCAGGTAGTGGGCCAATGGAGCGTGCCTGCCTTTCCCAACTGCAGGACTCATTTTCTTTGCAAAGCAGATAGTGGTTGAGATGAGGCCTCTGTGCTGTTACTTCCCTACTCTACAAATTCAGGGGCCAGAAATACACATCCAGGACTACAATCGTTGGAAAATAAAAGGCAGGAGCCCCTGGTTTAAAAATGTAGAAATTCGGGACCAGCAGTTAGTGTAATGGCTATGTCGCTGGACTCCCACATAGTCGACCGCGGTTCGAGTCACGGACCCGGTGGCTTAAACTCACGCCGGGCACGTGTGCGTGTGTGCCCAAGATCCCGAGGAGGAGAATGGAGGAGAAGGGATTGCAGCGTGGCCATCCCCCCTGGGGGGTGATTTCCTGCTTTCTATCTCTCTGTCTCTCTCTGTCTGTCTGGGGAGAACCGAAATGCGAACTGGCCACAGCACATCATCAGAGCCAGCGCCGACCCTCTGGCATGGGCCCTCGACGGACGCGCAGTAGGGCTGGTTGTGTCTGCAGCCGTGCGAGGGCCTGAGGGCAGAGCTAAGCGCATCTCCCCACAGCTCTAAAATGAAAACTCGCGGTCACTGCCTTGGCTCGACCCTTTGCTCATCTGTTGCTGGTAAGACCTTGGGAGATCTGGAGACTCCCCACGAGCCCCTCCTCCCTCTCCCCAGAGGGTGCCATGGTCACAGCACATGCATGCTTCGGTGTGACTTTGGCAACCAGCTCGTACAGATTTGAAAGGACTTTCCAGTTTTAATCTCGAGACTCACATGTCCCAGAAATCCCTCAGTCCAAGGTAAACTGGTACTTGTCCTTCTCACTGAGCTTTCTGGCAGGTTAAGGCTGAGCCTTGGCCAGTTGGGGATGGCCACACAGGTTGCAAAAGGGCAAATACCAACTGGGAATTGTACTTGGGGCTCTAGGCTGGGGCTGAGTCGCTAGAAGCCGTGTGGATACGTTTGAGGTCTTTAGTTAAGAATATTGTTGCATTATCACCAAGAAACTGTTTTCCTCTCGGTGTCTTCTACCAGTCTGTGTTTTCCAAAACAACAATACAGTGCTTGCATATTCTTAGAATACCTTACTTAAAAAACTAAAAAAATATAGTTTCTGTCAGAGTAGTTCTCTCGTTTTTCACCTACTATCTATGTAAATTATTTCTCAATAAGAGTCTTTATGAAAATTAAAATAAAGAGAACCATTACTAATGAAGATACCGTTATTTGGTACCATTCGTCCCTCTGAATTTAAAACCAAACTAAACACAGACAGACACCACCTTACGCCAACAATAACAATAATAATAACAGCAGACAGGGGGCCAGCAAAACGGTGTGGTGGTTCAGGTGCTGGAATCCCACATGGTCAATCGTGGTTCGAGTCCCAGACCCAGCGACTTGAAAAACCATGGCAGGCAATGGGCGTGTGCTTAAAATGCCAAGAGAATGGAGAAGGGGTTGGGGTGAGGCCATCCCCACTTGGGACAATTTCTCACTTTTTCCCTCTCTGCCTCTCTGGTGAGCACAGGCACCTTCTGGCAAAACCCAAAAACCAAAACCGAAAAACCCAAATCGGGGACCTAGTGATGATGAACTTGACAAGCGCGCTGGGACCTTACCCGTCCTGTCGGTGCAGTTCCACCACGTGGCAGGAAGCATAGGGGGGCAGGAGCCCGTTGTAGACATCTAGCGCCATCTGCAGGGCACTCACGGTGGTGTCATGCTGCAGAAATGGAAACACCCCACAGGGTGGTCAGAAGGGCGTTTGCTCACCCCCATTTACTGCAGCAGTGCTTACAACTGCCGAGACATGAAGTCAACCGAAATGCCCGAAAATGGATGACTGGATCGAAACCAATCATTTCCAATCTTTACCTCTGGTTCACAATCACCTTCAAAAAGTTAGCAAGCATTTCTAGAGTTCCATCGTGGTTCCTGATTCCGTTAAATTCCCATATTGCCACTGACTTAACAGCAAGTAAGGTTTACACGCGTGTCATCATTTCCATTTAGATGAAGATTCCGACGCCCAGAGAAATTCAACAAGTTGCTTAATGTAACATAACCCCAAGTGGAAGACAGAACATTTGAACCAGGTTTCCTGATTTTATGCCTGTGTCTTTACCTGCGATAGAATATTTCTGCTTTAGTTTGTTTCATTGATCCTCATTAAATTTTAAAATGTTTGGAACATAATAGTTCTTTTAGAGAAAAAAATATTTATTTAATTTTATTTATTATTGTTATTATTGTAATTTGCCACAGGGGACATGTGCTCACCAGAGACAGAGAGAAAGAGAGAGATAGAGAAAGTTGAGAAAACAAGCTGCCAGGTCCAGGACTTGAACCGTGGTCAGCCATGTGGGAGTCCTGCACCTTAACAGCCACACCATCTGCTAGCCCTGGAACACTAGATTCAATTTTTCTATATATTAGTAAATCTGTGATTTTAAAGTTTTGGAAGAGCATATGAGGTTATAAATGCTTCGTGAGGAGATAAAATATAAAGAAGTCAAAGTGTAGTTTAAAAATAATTACAGAGGCCAGCAGCTGGCATAGTGGCTAAGGTGCTGGATTCTCACATGGTCTACCATGGTTCGAGCCCCAGACCTGATGGACTGAAAATCACACCAGGTGTGTGAGTGCATATCTAAAATTGAGGAGGAGAATGGAGAAGGGATTGCGATGTGGTCATCCTTTCTGGTGGGCGATGTCTCGCTTTCTGTCTCTCTGTGGGGAGCACAGGTACCTATAGCAAAAATCTTAAAACAAATTACAAAGTTCAGTGTTGACCTCAGAGTGGCCTGAACATATGGAGGGGTGGTTTTCAGTTCCAGTTTTGGCACCAACACTATCCAGTCTGAGACAACCCTCGGTGCCATGTCTGTAAGTGGGGTAACACGTAGCCGAAGGTGCACAGCAGGGTGCGCGTAGTCAGATGGTGAGAACCATCCAGTGGGGAGAGACGGGGAGCTGCACGGCAGGGTGAGCATAGTCAGATGGTGAGAACCATCCAGTGGGGAGAGACGGGGAGCTGCACGGCAGGGTGAGCATAGTCAGATGGTGAGAACCATCCAGTGGGGAGAGACGGGGAGCTGCACGGCAGGGTGAGCATAGTCAGATGGTGAGAACCATCCAGTGGGGAGAGACGGGGAGCTGCACGGCAGGGTGCACATAGTCGGACAGTTAGAACCATCCAGTGGGGAGAGACAGGGAGCTGCACATAGTCAGACGATGAGAACCATCCAGTGGGGAGAGACGGGGGGGAGCTAGCTGCACATAGTCAGATGGTGAGAACCATATAGTGGGGAGAGACGGAGCATACAGATACGACCACTGAAGTCACATAAACTAGACCTCAGAAACAGATTAGAGACTAGAAAACTGGCAGGGTCAGCTGATTGCAGGCCTGCTTCTCCAGGAAGAACTCCCTTGCACGCCAATTTTCTGGTCTAAGCGGCTGAGTGCCCCTGACAGGGCATTTCCCAATGCCTTCTAAAAAACCCCACCAGTTTTCTGGTCTCTAATCTGGTTCTGAGGCCTTTATCTTTTTTTTTTTTTCTTTTTTCTTTTTTTTTTTTTTTAAGAGGTTTTTCACTTTAGGGGGCCTACGCTTGCCAGCACGGAGAGACAGAGAGACAGAAAGCAAGAAATCAGCCCCCAGAGGGGATGGCCACACCACAATCCCTTCTCCTCCATTCTCCTCTCAGGATCATGGGCATCACGCACACGCCCCCGGCGTGGGTTTTAAGCCACCAGGTCCGGGACACGAACTGCGGTCGACTACGTGGGAGTCCAGCGACATAGCCATTACGCTAATTGCTGGTTCCCCCGAGGCCTTTTTCAACATTCTTGAAGGGATGAGAACATGGCTCTCTCCAGCCGCATCACAGCCGGCATGGTGGCTATGGCGTGGGGAAGCCCTTGGTCTTCCAGGAAGTGGGTGTTGGTGGGCCACGATTGCATCCTGGTTCCCTGCTCGTCCCAGACACCAGGGCAGCTGTCTGAAAGCACACGCAGCCCCAGAATTCTCCCTCAAAGGCGTCTCTCCCTGGCTCCTGCACTCAGACGAGTCTTCTCCCAGATCTCT